AAAAAAAATTCAATGGCTCACACAGGTATAGAGCTATATGCAATTAACATGAAATAATTTTATTAGTTGAAGGAATGAAACTTACTTGTCAGGATGAGCACCAGCAGGAGAAAGGTAGTACAGGTCATCTCTGCAGCTTTTTGTATGTCTCTGCTGTTCAGGCTGGGGGTCTTTTATTCTTTAGCCTCAGGCTGCTTCCAGAAAACGATTCCCAGACTGTCTGAATTGAAAAAAAACTCTGAGGTAGACATGTATAAAACATAATTAGCTTACAGAGGGATGAGACGTACAGTATATCCCATATATCATGTTTAACTTGGATCTTGCAGACAGCCAATGTTGGGTATGATCGTTTTGGGTGGAAAGTAAGAAAAATCCAAACTCAGTAAAGGCAAGTCAGGGACATTTATCTGCTTAGAGGCAGAGATAATGTGATTTCACTGCTTCTTGTCACTGAGAAGAATATGGACTCTGCATGATTACGGGACATATGAGGTCATGGATAGACAGTAGCCCAAAAAAAAGGAGGGGAAATTTAATAAGAATAGAAATTGGTGACTGAGGCATTATGGTAACCAGATTATGAACACTCTCCCCAATTAGACCCACTAATGTCACTATCGTCGTCTGCCAGCCTCACAATATTAAAAACTTGTTTCAACACACCATATCTCTCATGGTCCTGGACTCCTCTGTGAGTTTATTAATATATCTCCTGGCGTACTACATATTTACTTAAAAAATATATTATGAAGGTGCTCAGAAAGTGTAAATATTATCAAAGATCCATTTGTGTCAGTAATTTGTATTAAATGTCACATTAGTAAATAGATTCTTTACACAAATTATTAATTTCTACGGATGTTGATGATAACAGTTTATGGTTTATGACAAGCAGAAATCCTCCTTTTTTAATTCAGTGCAACGTAGCATGGAGGCTTACAACCTGTGCCTCTGTCAAAGCAACACTTGTGTCATCAGTCTCTACCAAATGTTTCCTTCTGCATCATTTTCCCTTTACATCCTTGGGAGCAATAGTTTGTGATGAATCAGCTTCTTTAGTAATTAGCTTTTTGTGGCTTATTCTCCTTGTCATTGTGGTTGTCATCCTCGATCTGATTTTTTAGAGCAATCACAGAATAGTTACACCGAGTGCCCCATGGTCATACGCAGGAAGACTAAAGCATTTTTTTAATAAATACCAAAAGTTTAATTAAAAGATAAGTTAATTTTAACTTAATTTATTTATTCTTTCTGTGCTAAGACTGATTAGTACGTCTCTTACCAGACAGCTATTATGCAGCCAATGTTGCCAATTTAGTGAATTTTGTTTCTATATTCACCAACTTTTGTGGTAAATTATTTAAGCCATTAAAAGAAAAACTAGCAAATTTTTTGTGTTGTTGGAAATTTTTACAGAAAGCATAATTTGTTCTGAAGCTTCTGGCTTCAGGTTAAAGCTGAGCAGCCTGCTGCGTGCAGAAAAACACTGATAGGCCTCCAGATGGAGACATTGCAGTTTTTTTATATCCTTATAATGATGGAGCCCATTATGCAGCTGTGGGAGCTTTGACAGCCTTTCTTGGGCTCAATCTGAAAATAGCTCCTACATCCTGCTTCTAGTTAAGGGGACTATCAGCAAAAGGGGCGCTAGACTGATGTGCTGAATCTGGACACCCGTTTAGGGAGATCATTACATGCCACACAATGGCATAAATATTGGTAAGCAGAGACTGCAGTTGCTAAGGGGTCCCCGACCTCGTAGGGGCCCCTTCAATGACACCTGGTAGACCCCCTACACAATTGTGCACTAGGATGTCTCTTTGCAGATGTAATGGTGCAAAAAATTCCTCTTAAACCCACCTGAAACTAGGATGATCGATCGGACCTTATTTATACCCCAACACATGCATGTTGTACTTCATATGGGGCCCACCCATATAATGTTGCTTACGGGCCTATTGTTATGTCATTACACCATTAATGCTGCACACAGACGAATGATCCTGGTTTTTTCCTCCCTAAAAGTAGTAAGTGTACTAAACTTAGTGTAGTCCTGTTTCTCTGATTGGAACTGATGGGATGTGCTCTCTTCATCGTCTGACATGGGAGTTAGCTCAGAGGTAGTCTTCCTGGCTGTGTGTTTCCTGGACGGGGCCGCCTTTTACAGCTGCTTTTTGAATCTCTGCTTCCATCTCCTTGAACCCCAGTCGGCCTCAGCAGATGGCTGCTCACACTGAGCCTGGTTCTGCTGGAGGTTTCTTCCTGTTAAAAGGGAGTTTTTCCTCTTCACTGTTGCTAAAAGCATGCTTAGTGTGAGGGATTGTATAGGAGTCAATGAGTCGATGCAATCAACGGGTTTTCCTTAGATAGAAAACTTTTAATCAATTTTACTGTATGATCTGGTGAACTGTAATGTGCCTTGAGATGACGTGTTGTGAATTGGCGCTATATAAATAAACTGGATTGAATAAAATTTTAATGCATTAAAGGTAAATAATTTATTTTCCTGAGAAAATAAATGCATTAAAACGCTACTTCCGGGAGCTAACTTTTTTGGCTTTGGATTTAAACATAAATCTAGTCTTTTTGAGTTTTATGTTTTCCTTTCATGCTAACCTTATGGTATACAGTATGTAACCTAAAGAAATAAACAACTAAAATGCAGATAAACACCAGCAACCAGCAGATAAACATGTAGTATGTTGGATGATGACGTCACAAAAGCAGTTTCACGAAGAAAAGTAAAAAGATTCAAAGGGTCTCAGAAAAGTCATACAATTATTACAAATTTTTAGAGATCCAGTGTAGCTTTATTTATTGATTTAAAGATAAAAATAAGTACTTTTATTACCACGATTATATAATTTAAGGCGACCTGAATGAATATCTGAACATGCACAAGTGAGAAGATAGTTGGGATCGTGCTTCCGATACGGATCGGGTAGTGGCAATTCTTGCCACATCTGTGCTAGGAAGCATCCTGCTTCCTGGGTCCGAGCTCCTTCCTTACTGCAGGCACTATTCAGACAGCACTTATTACAGCAACCACTTCCTCTGTGGGTTAAATATCTTTACCAATTCTAGGTATTTAGATCTACCTTCATGGCATGTACATCTGGGCCAGACCAGCTCTGAGTCAGTGGGCAGAATGGATTTTCTGAGCAAGATAAGTTCTCTACTTCTCACTCCTTCAAGACTATGTTCACAGAGTCAAGTACACACGACCCATTACCTTCTTATGATTGAAATTTATTCCTGTGTCCAACACTTCTACACCTACTAAAATGTCTATACTAAACTGCTACAATGGTATACAGTTAATGTCTCCATCCAGTTGTTTTTTGTGATTGCAGTGCAGTGCAGATTATCTGTGCATTTGTAAATGGCCTAATTTTTCTTTAAACAACATTTATTTTAGTTGCAAAGTACTGCTATGAACAAAATATATCATATTTATACTGTTTATAAAATGTGTACACCTATAGAAGTAAAATAACTATAAATAGTTTTCAAAATATACATTAAAAACCACTGTGTCTCCATTGCAAACTATTTCTGCAGCAAAGTAGACTTCGAGAATTTTCCAATGTTATGGTGGCTGTTGAGGTGCTACCCAGGAAAAGAGATTGAGAATCACTGTCATGATCATGACACTTCTGTATCAGAGATCTTCTTCATTGACTTATGTCATATCTGCACCAAGTATCTCTTGTTAATGTGTGGGTGGATGCTTGTGGGAAGTGAGTGAGACCTGTGGTTTTACAGATTGGCTTAAGTGGAGACAGAGAAATGAAGCTGTACCTTAATGCTTCTAATTTATTTATTTATTTCTTAAACTAGACATACTGGCATCAGTCCCCCCCCCCTAAATACAGTTAAGGAATATTTTCTCTGCTTAATTGTTTAAAAAACTTTCAAAATTTTCTTCTATATAAAAGGGTTGGAGCTCTTTACGGTACCTGCAAGTGAAAAAAGCCTTAATGAGCAAATTGTTTCCATAGCTCCTTCCTTTTTAGTAACAGCTAAAACATGAAAATGTGAATTATTGCACCTGGTTTGATACATTGATTAACGTTTTTCAGAGCAAAGAAAATTATAGAATTAAAAAGATGTAAATAGGATAGCAAGTGCCAAATTTCACATTTTTGAGTCTCATCCATACAATTTGTCTCCGGATAACTAAATCCTCTATTTAATAAAAAGACTGACACAGCCTAGATTACAGTTGTGAATTTAGTGTAGACCATTAGTTTTACGTTCTTTTTTTTTTTTTTTTTTTTTTTTTTTTAGTGGAATGGTGATTTGTTTTACATGAAGGTTTTGATGACACCACTGGTTCTAGAACAGCTCAACATTAGAAGGGCAGCAGTTGATATTATGTATACACATGTTGATTATATGTATACACATGCATATTTTATATTTATTTTAGTTATTTTATCTTTTTTGGGCATTGAAATCATGCTATATAAATAAAGTGGACTGGATTGGATTGTGTCCTGGATATGTCTGTGGGCGGTTTCTTTCAAAACAACTCTTTGTTCAGTTCAAGCCTTCAAATCTTCACCAAATCTTTCTCAATGCTGTGCTTATCATTGTAGCTAATGCACATATTTTCCCCCTTTCACTCAGTTTTCCATTAATACGTTTGTATACAGTGTCAATGAAGAGCCAACATTGACCGTCTGCATAACAATGACACCAATCATATTCTCAATAAGTTAGCAGACATTTTGTGGGCTGTAACATCATATTTTAATAACCGTTATAAAATCTAGCGTAGTCTCAAATAAACCCTAAAAATCAACTAAAATAAACAATATATACCAATATGTGTGTAATGAGCGTTTAAAATGCATGCTTTCCCTTTTTAGAAACAATTTACTGATGAACTTTAATGTTCAAGTTATTGACATACACTTCTATGTGCAGGGAGAGTATCAATAACTGACATTTTAGTCAAACAAAACTTACAGGAAAATAAATGACTCCAGTTCTTTAGTTGTAAAATCTTTATTGTTTGAGTGTCTTTTTCATGTTCACTCTAGAAAAGTTGGGTTTTGTGATTTTCACTTTAATTTCATACTGAGATTGGTGCCAGAAAGCAGCGGTCTGCACTTTCAGACTGTGACCACATGACTGTTTGCAGCTCGGTTATAGTAGTGCAGAAGTCTTGACCTGAGCAGGCCAATAGAAATAGGGCGCCTACAATTGAAATATAACATTACAGAGAGACATGGTACCGCTTCAGAGTTGTGCAGTGGTCCATTATCAAGTCTACAGGAGGGTGCAGGCTGACCTAGACTAACATGCTTTACTTCTATCATCACCTCATGCACCAGAAAGTGTGTCATCTAGGAGTCAGCTAGTAGTGCATTAATTGCAGAAATTGATCCTCTTTTTATCCATGAAGTTTGCATGATTATGTAAACCTTTTTTACGAAATTTTCACATATTTCATCCACATTCTAAGAAACAGCACAGTGTTCTGAAACAAAACAAATGATTAGCGTCGACAACAGGTGAGATGTACATCGAAGTTTTTTTACAAAACTAAAAACAACTGAAGAGGTTCAAAAACGAGAGGAGGCTGCTGGATCAGGACGGATCATGGGGGAAGGGGGGGGGGGGGTCCTTGCTACATCATAGGAGGTTTTCTGTTCAAAATGGCAACAACAAAGGTTAAATACATAGAACATACTGGAAGGTTTGAAGTGTATTAGGACAGTGCAAACACATTTCGGTCTTAGAATTAGTGCAGGAGGTGAAAAGATGAAGGTGCAGGGTTGATTTATTGCTTGGACGTACGTGCTGCTGCACTGGGTTAATACTGACATGCCATAACAGAGCTGCAGAAGGAGAGAATGGGATGGAAGGTTGTGTGCGCCGAAATTAGGGTTTGATTCCAGCTTCAGTGAAGATTATATGGTGTCGCTTATATTCCCTTTTTTTCCCCCCAACTCCACTCTTGTTGTCCTACATTCCACATTTCTTTCCTTTCCAGGTCATTTTGGCCGCCGCTTCTTGGCTCATCTGTCGAAAAAGTCCGACTGCCTTTAAATTTACATTCAGGAGTTTCAAAGCATGACGGAAACGGAGAGAAAAGGTGAAAAAGCTGCATGCAAAGGTCGAGAGTGTAGCTCCCTGATCCGAAGAAAGGGGTCAGTGTTGTTTTACTTCAGTAAGGTAGTCCGGTGAGAGCTGATGTTTAGCGTCAAAGTGTCCGACCACTCGTTTATAACAGTTTTTTTACACAGAGGAAGAAGTTAGTAGTAATAAATCAGATTGCCGTTCACAGTAGCCCCTGACTGTTTGGCTGGTAAATCAGTAGGAAGGAAGAAAAAAAAGGGTGAAGAGGAGGATTAAAATATTTCTAAAGATACTAACACAATACGGAGCCGTCATAAAACCTACAGGTAATAAATAATAACACAGCAGGATGGGAGAATCATTCCCAGAAATAGTCACAGACGATAAAACAAATAAAATGAGATGAAAGTGCACCAAGTATGGTAACGGTGGTTCCTCTTTCTTTCTCTCTCCATTTGACCCAGGGTCCAACAGCAGCAGCAGCGGCGGCAACAGATCGTCACGGCAATCTTTAGACAGATGGGGAAAAGCTTCCCTGCTCGGCAAAGACGGTACCCACAACACACAGCTCTATGGGCCGGGAGGTGGAAAAGCTGATTTAAAGTGTGGGGGTCGGGGGATGTTAGATTGGTTGGACCGTTACACGATGAGCGGCCCGCGGCGGGGGTGTTTCGGACTCTGGCCGTCCCTGTCCTCCGCCCCCTGCTCCTCCAGGTTAATGTTGCTGGTGGAGAAGTGGTGGGGGAGGGGATCTAGAGCAGGCCTGTAGCCCCCAAGATACATAAAATCTGAAAAAGACAGAAGAAAAAAAATAATAATCATCCGATATAAATTAATAATTTGTATTTTTTAAACCTTCATAAACAAAATAACCTTTCAGACAGAAAAGGCTGGACTTCAGTTCAGGTCTTCATTTCTAGTTTCTAGAAGAAGCTAGAAAGTTCTTCGACAGTTTCTAGTTTCTTCTGCTTGAATACTTTCTTCCTTTTATTATTACTTTCTTTTAGTCTTTAATAACAAAAAATAGTGTACATAACCTAATATTATTAATATATTATTATGGTCTGTCTAAGTTCATTTTAAAATAGTAAAACAGTTACCCAGTACTTGAGCAGCCTTTTGACCAAATACTTTTCTTTTATTCTTGAATAATTCATACGATGGTTACTTTTTACTTTTATTCGAGTAGAAATTATGTTTACTTAGTGCTACTTTTACTTTAGTACATCTTTAAAGTACTCTACCAACCTCTGCTCGCTCTGTATTCAGCCTTGATGGGTCAGTACTTTGTAGAACCACCTTGCTCTTTAGGTACGGTTAAATTAGATAAAAGAAATCTGCAAACAGTAACTTTCAAGTCTGTTTAGAGTCTCAGTCTACAATCTAATGAAGCCATTTTGAAGTGTAAATATGTTTAATCTTAACCGATGCTTTGTGCCCCTGGCTATAAGGAGCATTCTTTCCCTGTTGGAAAGTGAACTTTTCCCATTCTAAGTTTAAAAAAATTAAGAAAAATGTAAGATTATTTCATTCCACTTCTTGTTCATTCCACTTTTTGTTCCCATCAGCTTAAAACAATACCAAAGCATCATGCCACAATCAGCCTTTCACCGATGCATTGAAATATGAAACTAAAGTGTGTATACACTGTTTTTTACTGTATAAACGGAAAATCTGACGCCAGCTAAAGCTCGTCATCCTGATGTTTGATTCTTCATCTAACCATAACTTCATACCTAGTCCTCAATGTGCACTGGGCACGACTCCTCATCTGTCCATCCGAAAGAGAGCCAAACAGGAAATAAGGATGGCAAAGAAGAGACAGAGATATGTGGGAAAGGGCAGGAAAGGAAACAATGTTGAGGAAAGAACAGAAGATGTGAGTAATGGTGGCAGGATTGAAAAAGGAGAGAAACAGAGAAATAACACAAGTTTTACGACACAAGAGTAGGAAACATGTCACAACGCTCAGTTTAAAACATCGTCAAGGGCATGAGGGGCATCAGGGAGTGGAGAGCGGAAGGGTTTAAAAAAAAAAATCAAGAGAGAAAGAGATGAGGGTTTTGGGGAAGTTTGAACTTATGTAGCACAAATAAGTTTCTATTTTAAATCAAACATATTCACAACCCTTTTTAGGCTAAAACAGAAAAACTACAAATTATGTTAAATCTTATAATGGCCTGAACAATTATAGAGAAGCTATAACACATCATCGTTAGACAAGCAGGCTCTTCACATGCTGTTGTCTCCATCTATGATGAAAGAAGTTTAGCTGAAATTTGGTGAAAGGGAAAAGTGATGCACAAACAACAGCAAATAGCACAGCTTTCAGGGGACTGTAAGAGAAATTTAAGAATACGGTGGCGATTTTTACAAGGTAGAGTCTGAGCAGAGACTCACCTCACGCATCTGTATCTACGAATTAAGCTACAACTGTAATAGTGGTGCAATTTGTCTGAGCAGAAGCTTAGTCCGGAAATGGGTCTTTGAGCGACTGCAGGTGGGGGAGACGGACTGCAGCAAAAATACCATCACTTTTGAACAATGCAAGCCTACATGAAGCTGCGAATTAAATCCTTCAGTGAAAGGTGACTCCATCCTGCTTTCAGAATTGATCGGCATCAATGCTCCCATCAGGCTCAATGCTTTTGCAGTTTTTTTTTCCTTTTTAATTTGACATTGTAAAAAATACACATTTTCAGTCACCTGACTATTTTGTACTTTTAGTTGGGTAACCGCACAGCATCTCTTTTATAATTACTGTACAGAATATAATCATTTTCGATTGCTTTTTCATGCAGCTGCTGTTTCTTTTTTTCTATTATGTTACATTACTTGTATTTGGTCACTTGTGTGCCAAAGTGTCTGGATTGACAAAACCTCCGATGAGAGCAGATGTTGAATTTCATTTGAACATCAAGGTTAAAGCTGCTTGGGGTCCAGAGAGATGTTTGTACGGTGACAGATGATTTGGGTTACCATGTCTATTGTTACTGTGATTTCTGTACAGCGCTTTGGTCAACCATGGTTGTTTTAAACGTGCTTTATAAATAAAGTTTGAGTTGAGTCAATTGCTGGTGTTATTTCAATATGCCTCATCAAGAGCAGAATCAGAAGTCTTCAAACCTTTAGATTATGTTCCATTGCTGAGAAGAAATGTGCACTAGAACCTCCGCATCACATTACAAGAAGCACCAATACCTTATTTAGTGTTCATGGGACAATGAGACGGTTAACAACATCTGCCTTCATGCTGCAATGAACAGATTCGTGAAAAAGGAGCCCCAACCAAATACTTACTGTACTCTTTGAGATAAAGTTGAATTTTAGTTATATTATAAATACCAAGATGCACTTGTTCATTAAGCCAGCCTTCCATCAAGGACCCTCATCTCTTCTCAAACTGAACCAAATATTAGGATTCAGGGAAAGAATGAAGGGGTTAGAATGATGGATGAGAACTGGGTGTGCAGATGTTTTGCAAAGCGGCTTGGAGCTGGCAGACACCGAACATGAACTCCAGTCTTTGAGAAATACCAGTTTCAGTCTCACACACACAAATAGAGTTGTTGTTTTTTTTTCTTTAAATGACTGCATGCAGAAGTCACCTCTCCGACATCCTGCAGGTGAACTGGCTCACATACCTACAAGGTTTGGACTCAAAGGAAGAGGAAGAAAATAGTGCGTGGCTAATTAATCTGGAAAAATTAAAATGAAGAAAAGGAAGGCACCGAATCTTCATGCTTTTTTATAAAGGCAACAAACCCCTATTAATTATTTCTGCCAACTCCTTTTTTTTATTTTATTATTTTAACTGCAGTTGCTGAGTCATGCAAACCTCACTTTTCCTTTCCTCTATCCTCAAGCTCTGATTGGTCCATGTTCGACAGGTTGCCACTCACCGGCGAATCGGCTGTCTGGAGCCTGCTCATTATCCAACCCCAAAGAGGGCGTGTCACAGTGGGCGACGCCCTGATTGTTATTGGCCAACTCTGGACACCTGCTCCGCCCACCTGCAAGCGAGGGCAAAGGTCAAACAAGAGCAGCCAGGCACAGCGTGAGAGGGGAGGAGGTGGGAGGGAGGAGGGGTGAGACAAGCAGGGAGGAGGTGGAGAAGGAGAGAAGGGGGGAGGCCATGCTGGAGTGAAAAATGATTAAATACATCAACAGTCAGAAGAATATCTGCTGTAAAGCCAACCTGGGAATAAGTTAGATCTCTGGAGCATTTCTGCAAACTTATTTTTGAACTGGACTTAGATCAAAAGGTTACACTTGGCCTTTTGCTTAGATCCAAAACTTATTCGATAGTGGTAAAACAAAGAGGCATTTTCAGTAACAACAAATCAAAGGGCTGTAAGATTTAATTAGAACAAGAAAAGGTGTGAATATGATGCCATATATGTATCTGCAGGTCCATTGTGAAGAATAAAAAGCTACATTTTTCCTGCCTAAACACTCAAATTAACCTTAAAGGTTTTAAGGACAACTTACTTAGTTAACCTTTCCTTTCAGGGGGTTAATTGCTTTAACACTGTAATGCGAACATTAGTCCGGCTGAATTAGCAAGAGTTGCTTTTTATCAGATTTGTTTATACCTTTGTCTCATATTTTTGCAATTTTTTTTTCATGGAGACAAAAATCTTTCCTTTCTTTTATCAGGACTTTTTACCTTGATGAGGTTTGACGTCGCTGGATGTGTGAGAAACATTCTGTTGACCAGAGTTCAACAGCTTCATCAATCACTAAAATCAGTGAACACAATATAAACTTGACCAGATCATGGTGAGAGTGGATGGTTTTCCAACTATAGACTCAGTAAGCTATTTCAAAGGATTATTTTGACAACGTGATGAGACATTCCTGTGATTTAATTCCACTTCATTAAGGCTTCAAATAAGATTCAAATGGAATTTTAGCAGAAAAACACAGTATGAACAGATTAGAGCAGGTGCACACGAGATGACAGTGGATCTAAAACATAAAAAAGGACCTAAAGATGTTTTTTATCCAGTAAAACATCTAAATCTGTTGTTAGCAACAACTAAAAGATATAGCCTTTGTTTTTTGGGGTCATATGTGCTGTAAAATCATAATAAAAAGCAGAACAATAAGTTAGTAAACACATAGACCTGGTGTTCAGTTTGTCACAAAAATCAGTGGGAAACATTCAGAACACATCTGGCAGAGCCCTTACAGATGTGCTTCTAAACATACATCCTATTGAGTGTTTTCTGTTAATACTGGTCAGTTGCTAAGTTGCACTCCATCAAACACCCACAATGACACCATCCACAGAGAAACCTGCTTACTTAAACAGGTTTTTAACAGTTTAATGATGGAAGAAATATAGCAGAATCAGAGCATTGATTTTATATTATGTTTATAACGCTGAACTTTTATCTTGGGCATTTACAGTTGTAAAGAAAATTATATATTCACAGTAGTTATTCCAATAACACAAAACTGAAAAAATTATAATAAAGGGTATGTAAACTTCTAGCAGAACTGTTTGTGAATTAATTTTATTTTACTCTCAATTCTCTAGCAAAAATTGTACCTATAAGAATTCAATTGCAGAAATTCCCACTTAATAAAATGAATCTCCTAAAATATATGTGCAAACATTTGCTTTAAAATACAGGGGCGTTACAAAACCCTCCGGTTTGGATAGCACCTGCTGTTAATGACCAAGGCGGGTTTTCCAAAACTTGTGGAAACGGGTTTCAGCACATCAGAAGGCACTGAATTTCCATGGCACACAAACACGTTACGCCGATCCTTTGGTGAACGTACGGTGGGTGAAGTGTTTGGTTGATCTGTTAAGGGACCCATCTCTTCCTACTTTATTGGTGTGTCATGTGACCCAATGAGTGTATTTGATTGGTCAAAAGTCACTGGACTGCCTCTGCAGCTGACATTTTTTTAATACAGTATGTTTTTACAAGCATTTTTTTTTTTGCTGTTGAATTTAAAGTAAAATAAATATGTGATTTCAAATGATAAAAATTCTGTGTTATAAATTCAACATAAAAAAAGGCATCACATTTTAATGCGACAATATTTCTTGTAAATTTATCAGCTAGCCTGTTGCTTTGGCATTAAGCATCAAGAACCACTGGTTCACAATCAGCCTTTATGTAGCTCTTCATCACTTTACTTTTCCTCATTCAAAAACAAACACAACCTATGATTAGGAGAAGTGTAGACAATTATAATTCAGAAGTGAGATATAAAAAAGGGCTTGCCTTATACAAACAAATTAAACTTTTGATAAAGTTTATCTAAAGTTCATATCACATTTATATCAAATTGGGCAGAGAGACAGAAGTGTTACATTGCAATAAACTACACAATATTCTCATCCTTGGTCACACATTTCTAAAAAAAAATATGAATTGATTAATAAACAAGTTACTAATTAAATTAGCTATGAATATTTTTTTCTTACAAGTCAGTATTTTACTAAATAAATTGTAAATGTAAAAGTTATTGAACCATTAAAGAATCAATTAATTTATTTATTTCATACTTTTTCTAACAATTCATAATGATTATTATCTAAATTACTGTGGTTAAACTATTTGTCGGTTAACAGGGACAGGAAACCATCTGAACCACTAAATTCTTATCACTATACAGAGCGGGGACTATATAGTGGACTTATTAGTGAACTCAGTTAACTGACCGTTTGGACAGATGATCACTACTTTTCGCTCCCCGTTGGTCACCTGACTCCACCTCCACCGCACAGAGCCTACGCCATCTTTGTTATTTGTTGCCACTGTCGGGTAGCGACAGCGGGACCACAAATCCCATGATGCCTTGCAAGGAGAGATCTCCTCTAGTGACCATGGATGATCACTATTTTTCAAGGTGCATTATGGGAAATTTTGAGTCCACTTTTCATCTACTAGACATTCAGAAACTCATCTAAAATGCTGTAAACCACTATACAGTGCCCTATATAGTGATAATGGGGGACGTTCAGACACAGCCTTTGACTGAAACAGAAAACAACGCATGTGCTGCACAAATATGTTAAATCAATATATAAAAAATTACGAAATATGTATCAGTTTATAAAATATAATATTAAGAGATAATTTATAACAAAATAAGCTATTTGTTTATTTGCTTAAAGCCTTATCTTTTAAATATTTATTGGTTGCTCTTTAAGCTGTTGATGATGCAGGTGCAGAAAATGGAAAAGTCCAACCTAAACTACACATAATGGCTGAAGCATGTAGTCATTGTTGACTTTTAACTAGATAAACTTTTAGAAACACTGATTTAAATATATTTAAGGATTTAATGGATTGATTATTTCAGACGGGAAAACCAGATCAAAGAGTTTCTAGTGATTATATTTTTTAAATAAGATGCCACCCAATAAGGATTCAGCCAAGCCCATGTGAAGCAAGTGGAGTCAGACAAACAGCTTGCATTAGAAAATAAACAGCCCCATCTAGAGGACAAAGACTGCCATTGCAGGTTTTACTTTTTCTTTGCCTTGATATCAAGAAAACAAAGCAAAATCAGCAATTCAGACGATGACATATTTAATGTGGCCTTTATGACTGCGGTGTAACACATACAGAGGGAGGTGAGCTGTTTTGAGTGAGAAGTGAGGGATTAGTCTCATAGTTACCTTTCCCGTTTGACGGAGAGGAGCAGTCCTCTTCTGTGACATCATTTCCCTGAAATAAAATAAAAGATGAAAGCTCTGAAACATGAAAATAAAAATTTGCTCCAATAAATCTACTTATGTGTGTCGGTCACAGTAACCTCTGAATCCTGCTCCTCTACAGCCAAAGAGTAATTGTTTCCCTTTGATTCCCTGGAAAACTCCTAAATGAGGGGGGGGAAAAGGAGAGAATTCAAGCAGGGACTGTCTTAGCTCAACAGGATCATCATGAAGCCATTTTTATCCGCCAGGATAAAAATCTCACCCCGTCCTGGTGTGGTGCAGCTCTGCTCTCCATCGGAGCGTCTCGGTCCTCCTCTCCATCCACGTCTCCCTCCCCGACTCCAGCGGGCTCAGGTTCAGCGCCGGCCAGGTAGGACCCTGACATGGAGGACATGGTGTCAGCGCTGATGTGAGAGTGCTGCGAGTGGGACGAGGCCATTGACATCACTGACTGGGCCAGGCTGCTGCTCACCGGGTCTGACAGACAGAAGGAGACATGATGATGTCCAGCTTAATTTTTGGACTTTATGATTTCTACTGAATATCCACTGGATATTTCATTTAACTGGGACAGAAAAATAAGGAGCTCTTTATCCTTTCAAAAGCAAATGCAACTAATGTCTTAAAGAAATTAAACAAGCCTTGAAATTGAATTTGTTATTGTTTTTATAATATGAGACTTTAAATTTCTCCACACCAGTTCACAGTATCTGTTGGTCTCCAGTACATTTGATTCTTAATGTTCTCGAGCAAAACATTACGACCTTCAGAGAACCACTGGATTTATACGACCCTAATCATTTATGGTATCAGAACAAAAGGGGCTAATATAAAAAAATAAAAATAACACAAAAGTTATCATTTCCTTCTGTCGGTTAATGGATGACACTAAATACCTTTTAATACATTCAAGTTTGTGTTTTTAACAAGGCAAATGTCAAAAGGTCATGGAAACTGTTTATACAGCAAAGAATAAGAGGTTATAATATCCATACTTCTCACTGCATGCTTCTTCCCATCATTAAGGTTTGCCATTTTTTCTTAGTTAAGTCTTCAGGTCAGACCACAGCATTCAACTTAAGACCAGGATCTCCTTAGAAGATCAATTATTTCCTTCTTTCACAACTCTGTTTCAGCTCTTCTGCTGTATTTGGGATTTTTCCCCAATTTTGGACCCAAGTTCATATTTTGGACAAATAGCCACACATTAAAACCTAGAATATTTAAACAAAAAGAGGAGTTCATACATTATTTGCATCCTACCTCCATATCCAAGCTTGACATTTGGTCTGAAGGGTTTTTGTGGGTAGTTTTGTCTAAACATAGTCTGTGCATTATGGAACAACACATAATGGACTCTGTTCTAGAAGACCAGATTGACCAGAAGGATTTCTAAACAAATTGTTATTCTTTTTTTTTTTTTTTTTTCCATAAGAGAAGAATAGTTTTGGTAAAGAATAATGAATATAAGATTAGCAAATGTTCTTCTCTGAAAGACAGGCAGCAAAGATTTGCTCCTCTAATGTCTTTGTCTCTCCAACCTAATATTGCCTTAACACACTGCAATGCTCCAGGAAGTTAAAACTGCTGCTTTATAAGTCTGGTCATTTGATTGGCAGCACCAGTCTGCAAGTTTAATTCCTTCACATTAACAGTAAGGGTTTTCTCAACTTATACCATAACTGAATATGGTACATTTACAAAAGAAGTGCGAATAAATGAATAAAAATAAAAAATGTTAACATTTTCTGTTTTTCATTTTATTTCATTATATTGCTGTCTAAATAGACAGCAATATAATGAATATATATATATATACTGAGAGATTGTTTTGTAAATGGAGCAAAGCAGAACCAACATTTGAAATATTAAATCTTCTGATGTACAACAGTTGTCTTGTTGATACTGTTATTAATCAAGATGCCATCAGGAGTCCTATTTGATGATGCAAACTCAGTTTCTGCCCTGTTTTCTGTACCTTCAGGGGAGGTGATGGTGGAGGAGAGAGGGGTGCCGGTGCAGGGCGACTGATCGATGGCTCCAGAGGAGGAAAGCGTCAGGTTCTCGCTGTCTGGAGTCACTCCGCACTGGAAGACAGGCCGGTGAGCGTATGGAGAAACATCTCAAAGACATTTTTAGGTTGACAAAAACCTCACTGTCCCGAAAATCTAAAACCTTTCAGAGTGATCCCAAAAAAGCTTTTTTTATTTACATTTTGATCATAAAAAGTTAATATTCAGCATCTCAGAAAATTATTGGATTAAAAAAAAAAACTTAAAAAGCATTCCCTAATGTACTAGTTAGTTAAGTAATGACTGCATTATGGCTGATACAGCTGCTCGGAAAACTGCTGAGTCATTAGCATCCTCAGCAAGGAGCATAGGCCACACAAGCTAAAGCTAAAGAAGCTAGTTGTTTAGCATACTCAGAAACATTGAGGGAATTATGCTTCTTTCTGCTCACAAACTTTATGAAGACATTGGTTTCACCCTTTCAGCAGGACTTGGCAAATGCCAACACTGCCAAAGGTCCAACAAGCTGGTTCAATGACCACGGTGTTGCAGTACTTCATCGGTCAATTAACCGCTCAGACGTGAAGCCCTTGGATCAGGGTTTCTACAGCAGAAGTTGAATTCACAACTTTTTAATGCCACTTAAAATAAAAATTTAGGACCAACTTGACAATAAAAGATAAACCTGGTAGCGACAAATTTACCCCAAATGTTTATTTTAACATAAACCATTACTTTCTGACCAAGTAGATGCGTTTAAAATTTTGAAAAACTTCCCATATAGGAAGAAAGCTAAAAACAAACATATTTTTAACAAATACTGAACTGAATTCACAAACTTTGCTTTGTTCCCTACTGAATTCCTCTACTCTCATTTTTGGCAGGATAATGTTTGGCGGTACGCCAAGATGAGATGTGGTTCTACTGGCGCTGTTTGTGATGTGAGAGATGCTGTGAAGGCGTTGCAGAGACAAGGGTGGAACAGAACTGAGAAGAACCTGCTGCTTCTCCATAACTTGATATTGACGCTTTGAGTTTAATACTTTGCAGATGCTTCTCCACTGCCTTGATTCCCATGCAGAAAACTCTTGGATGGATAGCCTATTTTATGTTGAATTTAAAACTTCCCCATGTTGTCCGGATAAAAAGTTAATGGCACATCATCCCAAGGTCCGGCCGCAACATCTTTTTTATTGGTTCCGCTATCGGGACGGAACCAATAATGGTTACAGGGAGCGGTTTGGTAAATCTAAGAAAAATACTGTCAATTATTTTATTGTTTGATATGGATTACCAAAACAGAATCCTATTTCTGATTTGGTAACAATTTTAAGACCTATGAAAGACTGATTTAAGACATTTTAATACCAATTAGGGCCTTGATTTTATATTGAAGAATTGAATGCCTTTTAAGTCTTTTTAAGGATCTGCAGGAACCCTGTTGGATAATCTACAGATTATTGTCAGGAGGAAGATGAGGGATACCAAGATCAACAAAGCAGATGGAAAATCCGGGGTTTTTACTCCACTTCAGTAGAACCGTGGGCTGATGCAGGAATTCCTGACCAATCATGGACAGAATTCTAATGGACATTCGGATATTTTTGTTTATATAATTCATTATTGATGCCATTTAAATCTTATTTATTATTCAACATTTCTGAGAAACTAGATTTTGGGGTTTGCATCATCTGTAAGCCACGATTATCAAAAATACAACAAACAAATATCTGAACTGTTTCATAAAACAGACAGACAGACGCACCTCCTGCTGATCGACGGCCACTTTGGGACAACATGCATCCGATTCACTGCCAGACTTCTCGTCCTCTTCCTCGGGAAGCACGGAGGAGTTCTGGGAAAGTGATCTACAACAAACAAAGATGATGCATCAAAATCTGAATATTTTATTGTATAACATGAAACATGTGATGACTGAAATGAATGCTTCCAAATTTAATCTGCATCATTTATTTTCATTGATTTTAAGATTCTTTATATTTGTTTTAGGAAAGATAGAAGGACTAAAATAATCAAGGGAGAGAGTATGTAAGAAAGAAAGGAGAGACAGAGGGAAGCAAATATGATATGGAGTAAAATTTAGGAGTAAAAGTGTCTTTTCTCATTTCTTTCCCATCTTATCCAGACCTAAAAACAAAACCCTTAAGATTAAAATCCACACTTTGTCAGAATACAGAGGAACCACTCCATTTCATAGTGTTTGGAAACATATTGTTAAAAATACATATATTTTACTTTTCCCTTGCATAAAACTTTTTCAATGGTCTTTTTTCTACTATAATTTTTATTTTTTTTTTTTTTACTCAAGATATTTTTTATTGAGTTTTACATAAACAAAAAGCAGAGCACAGTTATAAGATGTTGCAAGGTAGGCTTATAGAAGCCAATTGAACAAGTTGCTCATACAAAAGTTTGTTAAAGTAAAAGAAATAGAGAAAGTAGCATGACAACTACAATAGAACAAGTCAAGTAGTGAAGCACAAAGATATAATACAATAAAACAAACAAAATAACCCCTTTCCCATCACCCAACCCGTCACTGCCAAAACTATATGATCACTCCACAACATTCAGGACCCGCCTAAGATGGAATCAGTGCAGTTTAGCTTGTCTGAGCAATTAAAGAGCTGGAAATGCTTTCAAGAAATGGCCCGACAAATTTTCAAATGTATCAAGAGACAGTTTAAGTGAGTACCTGATCTTTTCGAGTTTTAGACAAGACATAATATCTAATATCCAAGGACCCCAAATAGGGCTGCAACTGGATTTGGTTCCAATTTGGTGTTAAATGTGCAAGATAATGTATTGAAGACTGCCTTCCAGTAGTTGCTTAATAGAGGACATGAGAAGAACATATGGTAAAGAGAGGCCTCCGTAAGATTACATCTGATGCTTAGTGGACTGACTGTAGGGTACATAGATGACAGCTTAGCCTTAGAAATATGGGCCCGATGTACCACCTTAAACTGGATCAACCGGTGCCGAGCACAAAATGAGGATGAGTTGACCAGCCCAGGAGCAGAAGACCAGGTGTCATCAGATATGGGGAGACCTATGTCTTTTTCCCAAGCCATCTTGGATTTATCCACAGAGGGGTTTTTAAGATCCAGTAGAATGTTGTACAATTTAGAAATTAGACCTTTCTTTGACGGATTTAGCGACAAAATTTCATCAATGGTTTCTGTCTTTATGGTAGTTGAGAATTTGGGCAATTGTGAAGCGAAAAAGTGTCGTATCTGAAGATAGCGAAAGAAATCAGAATTTAAAAGGTGATATTTATCTTTCAACTGTGCAAATGAGGCCATGGTAGCTACTATTAAATTTAAACAACTCTGCAGCAGGGATTCATTTTTGTTACCTTGCAAGTAAGATTAAATATGGTGAGATTTTTTAATTCATAAACTCCCAAAATACATCTTTCCAGAAGCTAACAGATGCATAAGCCGCGATACAGAAATATTTCGGGCCGATGAATTGCAGTGACATGGATGACGTCAACCAGAGGTGGAACACCTAAGTAAAACAAACATGGCTGCACTAGTTTTAGCTGGAATACCCTCTACTTCTTTTTGAAAAACGAGCAAAAGGACGCGATTTGTGCCTTTGTGGATGGGAAAGATGTTTGCATATTCCTCCATATCAGATTTGGTAAGAATTTGATTTATCCATTAACTATGCTAGTTGTGAACCAAATCAAGAATGTGATACGTCGCAGCTGCTACTGCTGCTGCGATTGGCTAAAAACTCGACATGGGAGGCATGTGCTGCTTGATTTACCCAATTAGCTTGAAGAATTGTAGTGAATGTCTCTCCCTTCTGCAAACACTTTCTCAGATTGATACCTGGTAGTTAAATTCAAACACAAGGTAACTTTAACAGCCTCTTCTGATAAATTAGACCCTGGATGTTATTGACCTTAACGATAAAGATCAGAAGAAGTCAGAAGAGGAAGGAGATACTTACTTTGAACCACTCTTTTTCAGTTTTATTCCCTGACTGGAGTTGGACTGGTCAAGAGGGGAGAGGGATCTGGCCGGGTGGGGCTCACTGCTATATGGTGGCAACACACCAGCGACGTGGCTGGGACCGGAGTGGAGAGGAGGAGGATCCACAGAGGAGGTGTTCAAGGGCCCATTCAGGGCCTCAAGCAGAGAAACAGCCTCATAACCGGGAGGGATGTGTTCCGATGCCTGCTGCAAGAAAACCAGAGCAGGAAAATAAGTTTACAGTAAAGCATTAGGAACATTTTACCTTCTTCCTGCATCGGCTGAGCCTCACTGAGTGTTCTTCCGAGTCCGATGTCTGGGAGGTGATGACGGGGTTAAAGCTGGTGGGCGACAGAGGACTGAGCTTCTTCCTCATTGCTCGAATTTGCAGCAGAGCTCTAAAGGCTGACAGTGAAAAAAAAAACAGCAATGATGATATCAGAAAGCAAATTTGATGTCTTAGCAGGTCAGTTAAAAAAAAACCCTCATAGAAGCAACGATGGAGTCAAAGCAAACCTGCTGCTTTTATTAGACACCAAACAAATTATAAAGTTATTTATTTTTAGGCGGAACATTTTTCCAACCTTACTGAAGCTTTCTCAGTCCAGATGATGGACACTGAAAGCTCCATGAAGTCACTGATTAATAACTTAATCAGGTGGGACTTAATCACAACTAAAATGGACCATGTCATCAAAAACAATCAGACCATGTAATTAAGCTGTTACTCTGCACTTTAAGGCTACTCCCATATCAAAAACACATGCGCCACTGGACTTCGTATCAGCAAAAGTCTAATCTTTAATGAAATGGATCGATGCCTGGGACAAAGGTCCTGAAAACACAGCAACTTCAACCCTAACCATTAAAACACTAAACCAGCTGAACACCTTTATGAGTGGAAACAGGAAGAGCTTAAAAAAAGAGATTTATCAGATGGCCAAATCCTTTCAGATTAAATGCTTAACATTTTGACCTTTCCCCCTTCAGACGGACAATCCTCTGATCTGCTGAAACTGTAAAAAAAAGTAAGTAAATTTTTGGTCGAAAACAGCACATTTTCCCTTTTATTCAAGTAGATAAGACAATTTATCAACGAAAAACGAAATAAGATGACTGACTTTTAAAATATGTCAAACTTTTCCAATATCTTATTTCTAGTGCTGAATATCCAACTATTCCATTTTAAGGGAAATAAAATACTAATTCCATTGGTAGATTTACTTGCCCAAATTAGGGGAAATACACTTTATTTAAAGAATTTTACTTGTTTTAAGTTCAGTTTTTACAGTTCAAAAACAGCTGTCAATTAGAGGAGGTTGCTCTTTTCAACTTGATGTAATTCAAAACCTACCTAGGTAAGAAATTAAAGAAATCTTTAAACCTGAAATTGGAGTAAAGTTTCTGTGTTTGCAAAATGATGAGCAAATGTGGAAAACAGACCGAACCATATAAAACATGGCTGACCATCTACGTACTTTTACATTTTGACCTCAAAGCACCAATAATCTGACGTTGTACGGCTTTACTGCATTCTGAAGAAACTATTTAGCAATTTGAATCCGCTGTAAAAATCCTTCAGAAAATTTCCTTTTAATTAGAGTATCTACACCCTACAGATCCAAGTCAGCAACGATTTATATATAGAATTAAAACAGGCAACTTTACACCCTGAAAAAAGTCTAAGACCAGCATCGCACACCTCATAAGTCCTTCTTAAATTATTCTAAAAGATCCACATTCCCATAAAAGCTACAAGATATAAAACATTCAGAGCTGAAATAAGTATATTTTTTCATATTTAATACTCATTACTCAAGCATTCACATTCTTAATCACATACTGATTAAGTACGGTAATACCTAAAAACAAAAAAAAGTAAAAATATTAAATTAAAATGACTAATAATGTAAATAAAAATATATGAATTTATTTATTAGTTTAATTAATATGATTAGTTTGATGCAATCATCTTAGATCCCATTGAATTTTTTTGTTTCCCTCAAATATTGCCTTTTTTAATGGATTGTATTTGTGGAACTAATGGCTTTCCATATCTGCTGCAGGCCGTGTTTGATGACACGCTTAGATAGATTTGAGTTCAAAATGTTATGGTCAGACATTTTTTTTTTATCAGTTATGGATCAACGGCAGGATCTTCCTTTTATCCGCTCATCATGCAGCAGTGGACGCCCTGTTGCAAAACCTATTGGACCTGTTCTACAGTAAATATAACGATCCAGCAAAAATACAAAACAGATTCTTGGGAAGTTTGCTTGTAATTTTGTCTGAAACACTCTTTTTACAATCATAAAGACTTATAGGAAGATATATGGAGGTAAAAAATGTGGATTAGTGCTACTTTAAAGCAATAAACTGTGTTTTAAAGTGGCTATTAAGATTTATTTTGCCAGTGAAAGCTAGTTTCTGTGAAGGTGAACTCACGCAGCCTGCAGATGGGACAGCAGTTGGCCTGGTAGCGCAAAGTGTCTGCGCAGGCGTTACACAAACATAGATGTCTGCACGGGAGGATGAGGGTGTCTCGCACATCAGACAAGCACACCACGCATTCTGCGCTGTTGTCGCTGATCTCGTCATCGGCCACCTGAAGAAGAAGAAGAAGGAAAAGAGAAAATTTTCAAAGAGCATAACCGACCAAAGCAGACAGCCCTGATAAAAGATGACATTAATTCCTCTTGTGTTTTTTTTATTCCTACCTTTGATTCCTGACTGTTGTATTTGTTCTCGATCCCATAGATCTCCTGCAACAGGTAGCTAACTCCATCCACCTGGGAAAAGGAACACAGAGAATAAAGTCAAACAGTGTATGGCGTTATTTATTCAACAGGAAAAAGAAAATTGTTAAAAATGTTTATGTCTTCGGAGGAAGAAAGTATCTGATTTATTTACCACTTGCTTCTGCTTCAGAGGTTTTACACAGAAACTTCCATCCATGTGCTGCAAAACAACATGACATGCACATTAAAGAAAAAAGTAAAACCTAATATATTTTGTTCTTGATCCAGAAGCATTTGGTTCCAGGTTCTGGCTCATTTTACCTTTTCAAACGTAGCCAATAGGATGTGAGAATGGCCCAAATGTTCTGGAGAGATAAAACACCGTGGATCACCTTAAATTCTGCTGCGGTACTTACACCCCACCTTAACACGTCCTCTTACCTTCTCCCTCGTCTACCACAGCCTGCACAACCATCGGGAAGATCTCCTTGTCTACATCAAACAGCAGCTGAGGAGAGAGAGAGACGCAAGCATTCATTATGCCGCACAGGCGGCCTTCCCTCGCCAGCAGATTCAGGATGAGGCAGCTTACCTCGTCGTCCGCCCATTCGCTGAGGTTGACGGTATGCGAGGGCAGGCAGAACTGCTGGCACACTCCTCTCTTAAAGTGAACCGTTTCTGATTGCAGCGAGCTGTCCTGTGGCAGGTAGCTGCAGAGGTCAGAAAGAGAGTCGCCAGCAGGTCAGGAATCTTAACAGAAGCCTGAAAAAAATTGCTACTCCTGTACTTTTTATAAATGCATGTCAATACAAATTTTGTGCGTGTGTATGTGGCTGCAAACTATGCGAACACCTACAGTCAGAGCAAGGATTTCCATGTTATATAATAGAAGTGTTTGTTGGCAGAACATGCATGATTATGAAGCTAGGAGCCGCTTCAGAGCGGATCCTAAAATTAGGATTGTTCTGCACTAAACACAGTTTATGATTAATTTATCTGTTCTATTAAAAAGAAAAACAAAAAAAGGGAAGCTTTTAGTTCCTTTTGGGGCTTCATGACCACCTCAGAATAGGATATACATTTTACATGTACAAGTCCAAACTGGTTTAGATGTGACCACATTGAAAACATATTTAAAACTCGGTTTAAAGTGTCTTGCTTGGTGAGTTTCCTTAAACTGTTTCTTTCTTAGCTGAAAGCGTAAAGCTAAATTATTTAATAGAACACCCTGAAACAAAACACCTTATTGAAAATGTTGAGAAGAAAAGCAGGGGAGGAAGAAAAAACAAACAAAGCAGCAACTATAAGGTGACCGCCCTTGATTTTTTTTCCTGTGCTACGTGTTTGTATCCTGTTAAAAATCAGATATTTACAAACATGAATAAATAACCTTTGTTCACACTGACTGATGTTAAGGCAGATTAAACAGTTCCGGATTTAGACCAGTTAGAGATTAACCTGTTATGGTGTGGATTAAATATCAACCACAGTAATAAAGAAAAAAGCTTAAGAGGAGACGGATGAAGCCAGTCAGAGAGGGCCAACATCCAGAAAAAAAAGGATTCACCTTCAAGGTATAAAAGGTGACTTAGGCAGAAGAATCTCCAAAATCCAAAAGAAACAGCAGATTAAAGCCTAATAGCCAGATTATAGATTTCAAATGAACACAGAGACAACAACTGTAATATTAGGACAGTCGTCCTTAAAAGCTTTTAAACTGAAATTGAGGTGATGATTAAGATGTCAAAGAAAAGGGTTAGGTTAACCTTAAAAGAAAGTTTCTGATTTTCCAATTAAGGCTGAAAGCAGGACGTTATCATTCTGGAGAGACTGCAGACTCCAAACTGTCACTTTGGGTTCTTCCCAGAATGCTCCCATTATTATAATTCTCTAGGTGAAAACAAGAAGTTGTTGTGGGGTCTTCATCAGAAAGGCCTGATTTTCATTTTTTTAGGTAGAGCTGAAAAAAGGCGTGTCAGAGAGATGCAGCTGACTAATGTGGTTGAATGACGTCAGTGCTGTCAGGAGGAATGGGCCAAAATCTCGACAAACTACTGCTACAACCTTGTGGCAGGATACCCGAATCACTAGGAATTCTTCTGGTAGTTTCTACTAATTAGTTAAGAAAAAAAAAATTTATAACTCTAAACACATTTTAACATAACTCAATCTAGCAACATTTTCTGGCAATTTCCACTAAGAATCATACGTTGCAAGTATGCCAAAAAAGACTGTAGAATTCAACTGTGATCAATCCAAATAAAAACAAGAATCTGGACTATTTCCACCCACGAATGTGTGTGCACTTTAACTTACACTGGCACTCCATTGTGAAACTCCTCTATGGCCTGGTAGTAAATGGTGATGGCGACCTGCGTGTCCGCGTCAAACGTGAACTCTACATTGTAGCACGCCCTGTTCTTCCCCGCCACCTCGTCACCCGGCAACTTCAGGTCCTCGCTACATCTGGAAAAAAAAAAGGGGGGGAAAGTGCTTCAACTCTTACAGATGGAGCTATAGTGGTTTAAATTCATTATCTAAGATCCTGAGAATATACATTGAAGTTTCTTTTTATTGGAAATTGTGCACAGATCTAAAGGTTTGAAAACAAAGCACAGGAATTTAACTTGCATTATATAGACATGTAATAACAATATGAATTAAGCTGATGAAAGAAATATTCTGTTTACCTCAGACATGAGTGTGTGACAATAATGGCCAAATGCTAAGAGGTACATGTCAGCGTCACTTAAAAGAATGAATGATTTGACACACTCTCTATAAATACCTCTTTTAAGTTGTGCCATAAAAATTGCTTGGCTGACCAAACCCTGTGCGAGTTGCTTAATGGCATGTTATGCCACCTAGAAAGGGGCGTGTACCTCACGAGCCGCAGCGTGTCCTTTCGAATGTTTATAAGGCTTCGTAGCGTCTTTACTGGTTCCTGAGGTGGCGGAGCTGCATATGGGAACTGGACACAAAACACACACAGAAAGAAATTAGATATAAAATACATGCTGTGAGACCAAGGAGGGAGAGCTCCATCTTTTTCTCTTAGATCAACCCAGCATTCCTTTTCTTGACAAACATCAAACTCTGGGTTGGACAATGGCCTCAATAGATCCTGATTATCTTAACGTGGAAGAGCCTTAGGTTGTCAGCACGGATCTAGCTGGTGCTGACAAATGCTGAGTCTGGGCAAAAGAAATCTCCTCAGTTACAGCTGACACTATAAGAAATGTTTGTTTTCTCTTAGAAGTCACTACAAAATGAGACCAATGTGAAAAAGAAAACATCCAAACAGTTAGTAATATTTACAAGGTGCTTCCTGGACTAAATCAAACTTTTTTTTTTTTTTTTATCATTTACCCATTAGGTAAAATGCAAACTGCTGTATATTTAAATGTTTAGAATCTGACCTTGTAGTTTACAACCACATTGCAAAAGGCAAATATTTGCTGAAATCTTTTGACCTTAAAGTTTAACTAACTAGTGTAAATCTGTTTAACTAGTTGATGCACTATAGAGAGAAATGAAGCTTTAAATGTTGTTGTTTCAGGAAAAAAAAAAAAAAAGACGCCAACAAGAAAACATAAAACTCATTTTAAAATCTGTCAACAGTGGGACTTGGTTTGAAAAAGATGTCTCACTACCCTGGATCCAATTGGGTAAAACCTCTAAAAGACAAAATACCTTCGCTAATACGTCTAAACTTATCAGCATATGGGAGGGGCTTTAACTTAAAGGCACACTGCGAACTTTGTGACCTAAAGAGTTGAATGCTTTTAGTTATTTTAAATGATTCCTCAGGCCAATATAGAGAGGTTGACACTATCAATAATACGAGCTGGGCCCCACTCTTTCAATACCACCTTTGTAAGATAGGAGAAGACGCACAGTCGTTGGTCAGGTCATGTGACCTGAAAGAACGTAACGCTTAATGGCCAAAAGGCTCTTATATCCTCATGGAGCTATGGCTGTTTGCTCTACTAGTTTTCTGCCTGCTCGACTACTGGTCATGGCTGAGGAAAGAAAAAACTTTAAACCTTCTGAGGAAGCTAAAAAGAGAAAACGTGAAAAGGATCGTACGCCAGGAAAAACCAGAGTCAGTCTTGGAAAGGAGTTTATTCGTTGGCGCAGGCTGAAAGAAGAAGAAGCCGGATGTAAAACCGATTCTCTTTTCTCATCTTTATTATTAGGCTTGTAAGTTAACACTTTGCTCCTAGTAAACAGTCTTATATCTTTATTATTATTTTTTGTACGTTTAGGACAAGCAAAATACGGGCAGTTACGGGTCCAGTGCCCCTAGTGGCCAAAAGTTACAAGCTATGACTTTGACTTTTATTTGATGTCAACGGGACTTGTAAAAGTGTTTCAAATTTTTTTTATTTGTTTTCTTAAAATGCTATCTGTTTTGAATTTTTAGAAGTGTTTTGTTTATTTTTATTTATTTCTTTTACATATACATTTGTTTTCTGAAATGCTAATTTGTTTTGGAACTTGTAAAAGTTTTTTGATTTTGTAATGTTTGTTTGCACCTCCCGGCCACCGTAGATGTCTAATTTTTAACTAATTAAAGCTTTATAATCAAGTATTTTCAGGAGAAAGTGACTTAAAAATTAAAAAAATACTGTCTATAAAGCTGTCTTTAGACACAAGGATGATAACTGGAAAAAGTATAATATTTATTAAGACATTAGGAGCCTATTCATATATACTACAAATACTTCTTATATTGGAAATTTATTTGTAAATACATGCACCAACTTAAAAGAAAACAGCCTATAAAAGTATATAAGGTGTCATTTTATTACCCGTTTTTTATTATTCCCTTTTCTCTGCATTTTTAACAGTAGCTTAGAAGCATAAATGGCTGTTATTTTCATTACTGAACACTGTATGTCAGCATGTAAATACATTAAAAAACATTGTCTAGAAAAACCAAGCAAAGCTTTTATACTCCTAAAAAGTACACTGGTGCATATAAAAAAAACGCCAATTGTCCAAATAGGATCGATTAAAATAGATAGATTAAAAAAATGACCTAAATTATTTATTCACCAAGCTGTAGACACTTTAAAGCAGTTCATCAGGGTTCCTACCAGATTTGAATTTCAATATTCTTTGTTTACCAAATTAAAATTTCAAAATTTTCTGTTAAAATATTTAGTCTGGTCTATAAAGATGAAAATAATGTGTTGTTTTTATTTGAGTTTGATAAATGAAAACACCCTAATTGGTTCATTGAGCTCCTAAGTGTGCAGGAACCTTCTCTAGTGAGCTGGTTTGGCCACCAAGACAACAAGTTGAATTTTCACATTACCCTAACCATAGTGAACAACTAGCGTGCTTATTAAAATGTCACTAGTGAGCCCATAGTTATGTCGGGGCGTCAACATTGTGAGGTTTTTAATAACTACTAGTTACATAGTATGAGAAAAAGCCAACTAGTTGGAGCTTTTTTTACACTACACTGGAAAAACGATCTAGAAATAAATAAAAATGTCTTAAATTAATTAAATTAATTTACCATTAATTTCAGTATGTAATTGTGATAGTTTGCCAATGGAATTAGTATTTTTACTCTTAGAATAAGATAATTAGTAAAAATGCACTAGAAATTAGACAAGACAATTGCATTTTCTTATTTGAAGTGTAAATTGTCTTGTTCCATTGGCAAAATGTCTCTTTTACCTCCTCAACCCAAGAACAAATGCAATTATTTTAAGAAAAAATGACTTTTTTAGATTTCGATTTTTTCCAGTGTAGTGAGCCAAAAGTGACTAAATTGGGCAAAAAGGAAATTAATTGTAATGGCCTTTTTTATTATTCAAGCAAAATATTAAAATGACTATGAGTACATTTACTTTGTCACAAAATAGCAGGTGAGGCTTGCAGCTATTGTCAAAGATATCAAACAGTAATCTAATTTTTTTGCCCTTTTTATACGTAACCTTTAAACAGGGCTGTTTGCGGTTCATTGCCAAAAAATCTCTCCGTGCGCGTTTGAGGCCAAAAGCTGCTGAATGAGTGCAAGGGCCGAGCCGGAGCGGTTTGAGGATCCCAGGAGAAGAAACATGCAGGATGTGGTCGGGATACCTCCACAGTACAACCCCTCATCTGAGTTCCCGTGTGTTTAAGGGTGTTTGTGTGGCTTGAATAACACCATATTCAGCACTATTACACATCTGGGCTCAGCAGGAGTCACGCCTGCAAACCACACAAACAAACACACACACAGAGCTGCTGCTGAAACAGACCGTTCACTCAGACCTCACTGGCTGCACTCTGTCACTTTACCTACCTACACGGCTACTTAAGGTTCAGTCGAAACTATTTGAGCTTTTTACTAAATAGAAATTAGTAAAAAATTATGTTGACAAAAGATAGAGTTGCAATTAATCAAAATTTGCTATGTGAATGTGTGGATTAACATTAATGCAGAAAGATTTTAGATTTAAAAAGACAATTTTCCTTTTGTTCAGCTAGGGGCGGGAATTTATTGTACTTTTTATTATGATATATTTCTGGTCATAATAAGAGTTTTGATTTATAGTCTATATGAGAAATTAGAATCAATGATGATTAAAAACCAGAAAGTGGGGGGAATTATCAGAACTTTACTTTTTCTTTCTTTGTCTTTTTCCAGTGGGGCATTAATATATTTGAAGAATATGATTAAATGCAGCTCCTAGAGATGTTTAGTGATGCATATCCTACCTCTGTCCTAAAGGTGCCGCATTTCAATGTGTATATTGCAGTGGTACACAGTCACAGCCATACAGTTACATAAAAAAAGACAGGAGAATTATGTTTGGTTTTTTTGTTACTTTTATCGTTATCACGATAATATCACCAAATATCTTGATAAGGTGCATATTGCACAAATTCAGTTGTTTTTTGTTTCTTGCTGAGTACCAGGATATTATGGCACTAGATCTCTTTCCGAAATCTGCAACTGTTAGCAGGGCTAATGAACTTAAAGCACTGATCTCTATTTATTCACTGGATTCTGAAACCCCGAAAAAGGTGAAGTCAATTGCCGCCATCTTGCTACTCCCCACTCTCACTGAGACGTGGCTAAAAATGCCTACGTGTGTAGCATTTGGCTGCAAAAACAAGAAGTATGCTGGTTCTGAGAAGACTTTTCGCAGCTAATTTTACAGTCAGTGGATGTACTAACCAAGAAAATCCATATATGCGCCAATATATCCAATAGTATAGTATTTAGCGTAACTTTAGTCTGGCTATCTTTAACCCACTTGACTGATTAACCATCGACAATGTTGTGTAACGTTAGAAAATAGAAAGTAGAGTAAATAAAAGGTAATTCGCTGTGAAATGTGAATGTAGTCATTTTTGATTAAATGGATGATGTTGTTGTTTTTTTGTAATGTTTGGTATATTTCTCATTAGAAAAAAGACATGCTGAAATATGTTGTGTGTTTTACTTATGGAAAAAAAAAACAATTCAAAACATTTGACATGTGAAATGATATTTAATATGCAATTACCATAACAATTTGCAAAAACATAAAGTAAGGAGCATTTAATTGGTTTTCTATTGGCACTGCAGCTGCTTTAGAATTAGATAAAGAGGAAAACATTGTGTCTAAAGTAGCTGAACCTTAGCAGAATCACCCCCTATTGTATCCGATTGATGAAACCGAAACTAACCACACAAAAAATTATCATAAACTAATAGAAACTCTATTATCTTGATAACTTTAAACATTTTTTTTATTATTATTCTGCAGTGACAGATTACATAAAGCATCATAGGCATCGTTGCGCATGTTCTCAGGGTTAATTTGATCTTTTATTACATGCAGCTTTTATCTAGCAATGCTCACCTGGATATGTGCTCTCAGGCCATTTAAATGACAATCACCGTCATCCAGTGACGACAGGGTGCAGCTGTGACCCTGCTCCCATCCACACCACATCATTCTGCATATTATTTACTGGCCTACATTCGGCATATTAAGGTATAAATAATAGGAGCAAACTCAGGATTTTACTAGGAGTAAAAATCCATCCTGTGAGAACAATATGTTAACATATGATGCAACCTATTCATTGGTTAAATAAAGTCATAACTAGGGAGTAAACCCTTTATGGTGGCAGAGATTTTTTTGTCTTTGTGTTTTTACACTTATCGGCCACTGGCCTGCTTAGAACTGCACCCCTTGCATAAAAGACAGTTCAACTAAGTTTTATCTGCTGGACAGATGGACTTAAAGATAACAGAGTAATTTAGGAAACAGACTAGCTTAAATGGCTGCAAGTTTCTAAGTTTATTTGAGTGTAAAACAGAAAACAGTAGAATGTAGGAAAATGGCTGTCAACATTAAATGGGCTTAACAACTGCTGCGGTAAAATTACTGCTACCTTGCTGCCCTACTGAATGGTTCAATAGTTCATAAAAGCTGTCTAAGAACATTTTTTATTCCTAAGACTTTCTATTAAACCCTTAAAAATAGCTTCAGACACTGGCATACTTGTGGCGCCAGTGTGGTGCAGCAGACAGAAAGAACAACTGCGGCTAGTCCTATGAAACCAAACCCCATTATACAACGCTGCTAAAGCATTGAAAAAAAAAAATACAGATCAAAATGGAAAACCAACACTGAAGCTACTATCTAAATGATGTGCCTACGGCGGGATTACACACAACCAGAAAACCAGGGGAAAACCGTTTGACTAATTTCAGCTCTAGCAGAGCCAGAAACAGCCGAACCACTGAGATCGGTGCTGAGAAAAGGATGCATTTTTATTTTAGCTTGACTCCCTGTTTCCCTCTGCAGGCGCAAGGGCTTTTATTCTGCAGCTCTCTCTAATTTGACCTTCAGGCTCTTGATGGAGTTTGAACAAACTCTCCAGAGAATGTGTCACTTGTCCGTCTCGCAGCACATGGAGTCAGCAGATAATGATTTTCCAGTCTAATTAGCTTAATGAGACGAAATAAATTTCAATCTGTGATGGTTTGAAGGGCGGCTAATTGTCTTTGCACAAGTCAGAAAGTCAGCAGCTCCTTTTTAAATGCATGCTCAATCAGTGTGGTGATCGGTATGAAGAAAGAAAGGGACTTAAGTTCTGTTTGCTGGTCACTTTTTGGACCTCGAAGAGAAACATTTTGAAGCTTAATTTTAGTTCAACTTTTTACAAAAGGCTTGTTTGTCAATGGTCAGTAAAAAAAGCACATAAAAAATGCATAATAATTAAAATGAAATAATTGCTTTTCTAATTTAACGTTTAACATATTTTTCTTTTTTTTTCTATAGTATTCAGTTCAACATGTTTTATGTGCTATAGAGCTACAGATTATTTTCAATTATATAATTCTTATGACCTAAAAACATAAATATCTGCTTCTGTCCATAGAAAACTATCATAAATAGATTAACAGCAGCTAATTGACAAACGCTGAGAAAGCATGAGGGATGTGTGAAGGGAGGATAAAGGAACAATAATGAAAAAAGAATTAAAACTCTCGTCTAACAAAGTTAAACTATTTCTAATTTGACAATTCTAGTCAAAACAACCTTTATTATGAAAAAAGAAAAACCTACTGCTACTGGTCTGCTTCCCAGGAAGTTGAGATCCGTATTTTCCCCGAACAGGTAGCCCTCCGGATGGGTGGAGTCAAACTTCTCCCCTCCCATGATGAAATGGTTTGCAAAGTAACTCCCTGCAGAATGAGGAAAGAAGGAATATATTTTAAACATATATGAGATTAAAAAATATATTATAATTACAACCAGAATAAAACTCAAACTCATAAAAGCTAAAGAACTAAAGACATAAACTTAAATACAAAGTCTTCCATAAAATGACACATTTTGTGAAAATAAAGCATAAAAACAGTAAAACCCTAAAAGCTGTAAGAGCTTTTAATAAAAAAAAAGAACCTAATATGAAGAAAATGGCTTCATTACAGTTTAAAAAAATTATACCAATTATATCCAATTGCAATAATTAGAAAGTAAGATGTTTGGGGGGAAAAAATTTAATTTTAATCTTTTTACCAGCTAGAAACTTTTTCTGATGATAACAGAGATCCAAGGAGGACAACAAGAGGCTTTAATGGACGTGTTGCTTTTTAATGACAGGCGAGGCTAATATCATAAGACCATAATGGTGGTTCATGGTCTCAACACATGACATGCAGCGCACAAGAGATGTTTCTGCCTGGGGAAAACCAAAATAGCTCCTTTGAATTATATTTCTGTCATACAATGACAGCCATTACCACACTGGAGAGAAAAAAAAAATAGCTCCTCATCCTCATCACATTCTTTTTCTTATTATTTACAGCATGTGGGAAAAGTGGCCTTGTCGCCAGTTCCCACAGACGGGAACTGGGGCTGATAGACTGGTTTCACTGGCTGCCGTGGAAACAGCATCCAACACATAAAATCGTCTATCTTTCAAGTGTTTTATCTAAATAATAAAATAATGCAACGCATTTATTGTTAAAATAACACTAGAAATATATCGCCTGATGTTTCCGACCTCTTTTTGGTAAAACGATCGTCTTACTTCATGTCTAATATAACCCTAGTTCTGAGGGGTAATATCTTGATGTGTTCCAACACAATCTCATTTTTGACACTAAAATAGGATTAATCCTAAATCAGGATGGGGAGCTTAGCGTGGTGGAGCTAAGAAGAAACAGACAGGGGATAAAAACTGAAGCAGAAAACAGCAGAAGCAGCTTTAGGCGCAGTTCAAATCTTCACAGTTTTGTTTTTGCTAAACAATGCTGCCCAAAAGTATCCATTCAACATTTTTATGTCATATTAGAAACAGAATGATTGATGATGACTTAATGATTTGCAGCTTTTCAGATTTAGAAAACTTTTTTTTTTCTGAGCAGCCATTTTCACGACTTACTGTAACGGATTTTTAATTGGAATTCAGCCTGAACTTTGTCCGGGCCAGGGTTAAATCCAGTAATTTAAACTCCAGGCTTCTGGAGCTTGTAGTTTTCATCTGCTTCAACATACCTAAAGCAAATGTGTTGGTTAGCAGTAGGTCTTGTTTTAACTTGATTTAATGCTATTTGATTTAAACTCATTGGGCCAGAAATGCATAAAAAACAACCTGCAACACACAATTCCCATAGACAGAAGTTGGAGACGACTGATCTGAATCATTCCATTTTGCATCCTGTTGTATGTTCAAGGTTGCCCACGTGGAAAAGATCTTCCATCCAACGCTTTTGCAAACATGGAGTCCTCCTGGGAAGCTCTGCATTTAACTCCTTAATTCTTAACTGAATTTAATCCTTAACTGAAGTTCCCTTTTATGATTTATAAAGTATTTTTGAATTGTTTCAACATCCCTTTCACAGCTGAAGAACAGCATCCCCCCCAGCATGATTCTCCCACCACCTTGTTCCCACAATCCAGACTTTTGCATTTAGGAGGATGTGTTGAGGGTTAATTTCATATTTATTTCTATAGCATATTGAACAAACAGTTGACCAAAAATGGTTTAAATTACATCCAAGGCCCATCATCCTGCAAACTGAATAACGGTGATAGAAAAAACAACAAAATCATACATTTTAACGCAGAACATATCTGCTAGTATCTTTCAATTCAACAATTAATCAGATTAATCTATCATTAAAATAACTGTCAATTTATCATGTAATGGATTACATGGTAACATCAGTATAGAGACTAAAAAACATGTTTTAGTTGACAGAACAACCCACTTAGAGCAGTAATAACAAGTTTGTGTGTGTGTGTGTGTGTATATATATATATATATGCTGCTATCATTTTGCTAATCTCTGATGCTGCTGCTATTTTCAAATATATATATAATTACTTTAATGTATGAATATATATATATATATATATATATATATATATATATATATATATATATATATATATATAAGATGAAACAAATAGCTTTTTGTCTGTCAATATGCTCTACCCAGAACTGCTCTAGTAGATTTTTTTTTTTTTAAGTTCCATCTGGTTTTATTATGTTAGAAAAAATCTTCTTTACGGAACCTTTTGCTATATGATTATTAATAGATAAAATAATCGACTGATTAATCATTGGCAACATAATCTTTAGTTGCAGCCCTATATTCAACAAATATCTCTATAGATATAAAGTGTATGTTTTAAATAAACTGCAGCATAGATTCTAATAGAAGGTCTGAGGGCACAGAGGCTGAGGCTCTGCAGGCCCAGCCAGCAGATAAGCAGCAGGTTTAGTGATGGAGCTGCAGCGATCAATCCACCACAGTCCGACCTGTTAGTTGGTGACTTACCAGATTTCGGAGGGTAACGATACACCGAATTGGACGGAATGTCCACTTCTTCCACGCCGATGTTCTGCCTGCTGGTTAAAGCTCCCATTTCCAGTCCAATCACCGCCGTACAGCCGAACGGGCATAACACTTCAGGCTCGCTTTGTGCGCCCAGACTCTTCTTTCGCTCTCATTTAATCCAGATGGTGCTGCCTCTGTTCATTTCTGTCCGATCCAAGCCTCTGCCGTGAATGTGACCGTTCCAGGGATTATATAGTAGCCGCTTATCCCCCCTCTGTCTGTTGCTGTGTGTCTGTGTTTTTTCGGGTAGAAAATAGAGGCAGCAGTCGCTTTAACTGCTAGGAAGCAAAAAATCCCCGAGCATGCATCCTCTCCTACATCTCCTGGCAAAGAGACGCTTTTCGACACCTCCGACGAGGCTGATCATACATCCTCCTCCCCACTTCCACTCCTGATTCTGTCAGAGAGCTCCGTGGATCCCCATGACGTCACACCGGCGCAAATCCCGACCGACTTTTTTTTTTTTTTTTTTTTTTTGCGCAGTCCCCCTTTTCTCCTGTTACACTGCAGTGAGTGGCTTAAGTAAAAAAAAAATGTGTCGCTCTCTAATTCAATACATCTGAGATTAAGGAAAGAGAAAAAGGGAAATAAAACCGTTAGGCTGAGAAAAAAAAACGTTAAAAACCACCCGAGCTGCCCATCGACGATGACCTAGGTCGCTTTAAAAAAAAAAAAAAGACAGAAATACATGTCTACGGCGATGGCTATTATGGACTCCAGTTCTACAGGGGGCAGTGTAACGACACAACACCGGGAGGCGGTTACCGTGTAGCCAATCGGTCTTTGTCAGCCACGTGACTGACACGCCCCCTAGCGCCATTTTTGTGGTGAGCGGAAGAAAAACAAAACAGCAGAAAACAAGAGGAGAGCGCTGCAAGCCAGCAGCGAGGATTATCAGTTGAATGGAAAAGAACAAGAAAACTGAACGGATACCCTACCCAGACAAACTTTCTAAAGCTGCTAGGGAACGATATTATTATTACAGTGACAAGGCAGATGTTGTGGGCAGTTGCACAGATCGCTGCAGTTATTAGAGTAGTTTGTGCTGCTCATCAGACTGAACGGAAAAACTTGTCAGAATTTTTGCACATTGATAAGTTGCACACTGTATTTGCTGTTCACTTTACCCAGGCCTGTTTTCACTGGGATCTGCAGTCTTCTTCACAGATATCACCTGTTAGGTCATATCTCTACGGAAGACCACAGTGAAAACAAGTCCAGGGAAAATGAAAATCTTCTAATTTAATCTAAAGAGCAATCTGCTATATACGAGGGAGGAAGACAAAGTAAAACATTTGAAGCTTTGCACTGTTCTGCATTATTTATGTATTTGAGGTTTTGTATTGCATTTTCATAAATTCTCTGCTTGATTGAAAAGATAATAACAACGCTTGTTTCAAATTTCAAACTCCACTCTTTATTGTACACACATTTTTACAACTTCAGAAACATTGTTAATATTTGAAGTGATGGTGAAACTTATATTTGATTTGCTGTTATTTTTCAAAAGTAACTTTAAAAAAAGCAAAATTCTATTTGTGTGAAAAGAAGAATAAAAAAAGAAGAAGAAAGTTGAAACAGTACTTGATCTGGCATTCATTTATTAGCTGGTTTCTCTGTGAAAATTTCAAAACAGTCACTAATCACTGTGACTCTATGTCGAAGAGACTAAGAAGAGACTAAGACGGAACCGGAAGTGTGGCTCCTTACAGACTATGCGTCAGCCCGTCCTCCATATTGTGAGGGGTAAATTCTTCTTGGAAACCGGCAAATGGATGTTAGAAAACAGTTTATTTTATTTATTTTTTTATTAAAAAGAGCATACAATTTTACAATAAATGTTATTTAATTACTAGGTGAATGTGAAAATCTTAATTCCAACACATGAGTGATTAAAGCGCTACTGTAAGAAGTATCTATTAGGGAATGACCAACATGAAGTACCAGAAGTACTTTAAATACAACTTCAACCTTGTCTGCACCTTTGGGATGCATCCCAGCTTCAGCACACCTGAATCAGTGAAGTCCATCATCAGTATCTCTTCCAGCTTCACAGAACCCTAGTAAAGGTCAATATATTCGATTTAACTGTGATGTAAAATGGATGCATCAAAGGTTGCAGAACATCAGCTCGCGATGACCCTGAATTATATGTAATTCATCAAATGGTAAATGGGCTTTATTAATATAGAGCTTTATCAAGTCTTAGGTCCCCAAAGCTCTTTAGGGTGATTCAGAACGGGGCATGCTACATTGTAGTCACAGCTGCCCTGGGACAGCCTGACAGAAACGGGGTTGCACCCAACCTCAATGTTTTTAGGACTCCTAAAAACATTGAAAACAAGATGTTTTTTGGACTCCTTAAAAATATGCACCAACTCTAAAGCTATGGAACTTATAACCCTGAGTGGTGAACTTAATTTGTAATCTATTTCTTTTTCTGTTTCATGGACCCTGTAGTTCTGTTACCCCAGTACCTCGAGCATACTACTGTCTGCAATTGTATATTCTTTATTTGTAAATAAAGTTTGTTAAAAAAAAAAAAGAAAGAAAGAAAGACTCAGGGTTGCCATATAGTGGGTGTTCATTTAATCCAGCATTATAACGTTTCGGCAGTGGGAGGTTTTAAGTTTTACTGTAAAACAAAAACAGCTTCTCCATTGTGCTTGTCAGCAGATAAAAGCATGAAGTGCTATACCATTTAAATAGTGGCTGTTTGGGTGTTGCTTTCATCTCCCTGGCATCCAAACCATCCATGTTTGAAAAATCCCTCTGTTCTTTCTTTCTTTTGTTAAGTTTAATGGCGGTTGGCAAACAATTTACCACCTACTAGTATGGATTGCAGAACAAAATGACAACATTTAAACAATAAATGTATCTACTTTACTTTATATCTATAATATAATAGGGTAATATCCTAAATCTTTATCTAATATAATTGCTATTTATTATTAGCAATATCTTAATCATTTATGTTTCAGATGCTCCTGCTCTTCTCTACATCTCCAACAGTGTTACAATGTTTTCCCAACTAACTTTTTTGAGTCCCAAAAACTTTTCAGTTTATCTGGCAATGATCCTGATTTTCTCTGTTTCCTGTTTGGCTTGGTCTGTGCAGTTGATGACATACACTATAAATAAATACAGTTTCTCTACTTTTGGAGTGAAATTACCTACTCTTTCTACTTTATTTTACATTTGTACCCAATTCTGTGCTTGATTAATTTCTCCTGCTCTTTGTTATTGAACTCTCTTCACTGCTTCTGCGTAGCTCAAATTTTTGTCATTTTAATGTGTTTTATCTCCACTGCTTTCTTTCTCACCTCACATCCTCTACAGTTAACTCTGTGTTGGCCTCCACAGTTGCAGCACCATTCTTCAGCATCTTCCCTGCACTCCTTGATTCTGTGTTCTTCTCCACATTTTGAACATCTTTGCTTCCCCCTACAAACAACTACACAACTGCTGCCATTTGTCCGTACTTAGACAACTTTTACTGTCATTGTGTAAACACAGAGTGTATACAAATCAAAATTTCATTTAGTACAACTTTTCAGACAGCAAATGAAATTTTCCATTTCTTAAAGTGCAGCAGTGATCAAATGTAAATAGTGTGGGAGAAAAAAAACATGGTGCAAAAAAAAAAAACGCATTAATATGGAAGGTCAGAGCTTTGCAAGACAATTATATATGTTGCAAATATGCTGTATTTTTGGTAATGGGGAAGAAACTGCTGCAGAATCTGCTGGACCTGCATCGAATGCTTCGAAGCAGGGAGAACTGTCCATGGTGTCGTAGCGCTTACACTAAGCGAGTGGAGGCGGAATAAACAGCCTAACTGGGAATCTAATGAACCCTTTTTTGAGTCTCTCTGTTAGAATTGACTCTGAAAACTCTATCAGTAGTGACTTGTTGACACTCTTTCCCCTTGTATGTTTTTATAAAGCCTCTGTATCTTGTTAACCTTGCCTCCAATAATGTAATTTCCTAATCAATCTAAATCCTCATTAATTGGTACTCCTGTTATCACTTCTCTCACTGCTTTATTCTCTCCTACTTCTTTTATATAAATTACCTCTCGCTTTCCTACGTGTTCAACATCCAATGCTTAGATTTTTTGCACCTCATTTTTGCAAGTTACCAGCAAGTTTCCATCTCTCAACTCCTTCACTAATTTAAATTTCAAAATGTACTCATTTATTTCTCTGGGAATCAAAATGGGGCTCAGACGATTCTGTTTATCTTCAGCACCGTATCTAGTATTATTTTAATTCTCCTCTCACAACCTTTCTTCGCACAACTCTTTCTTCATCTAAACTGCTTTCTTCTAATTCCCGTTTAATTCATTGATTCTCAAACCACATTTTTAATAATAATAATAAGGAATTTTATTTATAACGCACTTTACATTTAACTTCAAATCTCAAAGTGCTACATTAAAAACGGAAAATTAAAACAAGTTTAAAAGACCATAACATTAAAAACAGAGTAAAAAGACAGTCATTAAAATCAATACATTAAAAGGCATACATAGCCTATTAAAAAAAAACTAAAATCAACAATTGTAGGCATTTCTAAAAAGGAAAGTTTTTAGTCCTTTCTTAAAACAATCCACCGTCTGTTGGGCCCTAAGGTGGTCTGGGAGGGCATTCCACAGACGGGGAGCTGCGGCTTCGAAGGCACTATCGCCCATTGTTTTTAGCCGTGTCCTGGGTGGGGCCAGACGGTGCTGTTGGCCTGACCGGGTCCGCGAAGAGGTGTGTGGTGTGAGCAGTTCAGTGAGATACGTGGGGGCCGCACCGTGCACATAGTGATGGGTGTGCAGAAGAATCTTGTACTCTATACGGGCGTGAATGGGGAGCCAGTGTAAAGTGTGAAGGATGGGAGTGATGTGCTGGTGTTTCCTCACCCTCATCAGGACCCTGGCAGCGCTGTTCTGTATGTACTGGAGCTTCTGAAGGCTCCTGCCAGAGATCCCGATGAGGAGAGCGTTGCAGTAATCCAGCCTGGAGGAGACGAAGGCATGGACGAGCTTCTCTGCAGCAGGGAGGGATAGGGAGGGGCGGAGTTTGGAAATATTACGGAGGTGAAAGAAGGACGTTTTGCAGATGGAGGTGACATGATTGTCAAAGGAGAGGTGGGGGTCAAGCTTGACCCCAAGGCTTGTAACAGAGGGAGACAGGGGAATGGTATGACCACAGAATGAAACAGAGGTGAGAGGAAAGGAACAAAGTTGATGAGGAGTACCAGTTTGGATGGCCTCTGTTTTTGAGGCATTAAGCTGCAGGAAGTTTTGACTCATCCATGCCTTTATATCCTCCAGGCAGGAGCTAAGGCGGGTGACAAAGTTGGCGGGGGAGCTGGGAGGAGTCATTTTAATGTAAAGTTGTGTGTCGTCAGCATAGCAATGGAAGTTGACCCCATGCCTGCCGACAACACAACTAAGGGGGAGCATGTAGATGGTGAACAGGGTAGGGCTGAG